GTAGACAGTGGACATTCGTCACCACTCGCCTCTTTCCGTAACCTGCAAGAAGACTCGTACCCCTATCGATGAATGTTATGTGCGAAAATACGACAAACCCATCAGAATGCGCGTATGATTTCAAGTTCATCGTCAAAGAATCCCTCAGAAACAATTTTTGATTTTACATATGTCTTGCATCTAAAAATATACCCAAGACACAGTTAAAAGTGTTCAATCATACTGTATAATTCCGCATGTCGCGATGTGCTTTAAATTGCATCAGAAATATATATAATATATAGGGAAATATATGTAAACCATAACGCAGCGAGTCAACAATTGAAGATGTTTTTTAAATATGCACCCACTCAGAAATTATAATTGGCCATTTAGTTTCAATAAAAAGAACTGTCATTTTTCAAAATGACAACTGATGCTGAACGTAACCACGAATATTTTCAAGCAGGTGATATTTGGTGCGGAACGTGGGATGGCGTGTTTAGTTTCATGTTCCCAGCAGCTGCAAGAACGTGTTGTGCGTATTTTTTTATGTAATTGATGTTGAATTCCTAGTAATTAAAACATTTACCATAAAAATCTATTGGAAAAAAATTGGTTTTGTGCAACCTGTTGTATTCATATTTCTAATGCCTGAATGATCAGCTGATACCCGACACACGTGTCGGGCCCATTTCGTCTTATACAACAAGATCGCAACACCCAATTCGTTAACACAGACATTTAATACTAAACCCTTTTGTTGACTCGGGCCCGCTAGGTTCAATGTGATCCATACATTTCTGGTGTACGAATGTTCACAATCATCAATATGAAACTACACGTGCATCGCGTCGATAGTGTCGAGGGACATATGTTACCGTCGTAAGGAGGGGGGCGTGACGAGGCCGAGGATGTAACGTATAATCGAAGTATCGATGCATCGCAATTGTCCATGGCCCGATCGCATTCAACTGGAAACATTATTGCGTTACACTATCGATAGTAACGATAGACGTCATAAATAAAAACGCGTTTAATGATTTCGTTACCTTTGACCCAAAATACACACAATTTACAGAGACACACGGGTATTTGTAAATATTGTTATGTCAAAAATAAGTATCTCCCCCCCCCCCCACACACACACACACCCCCACCCCATCCCCAAGAATTCTTGTGAATTGTTGAGTTTTGTAAGGCCATGACGCATAACAAAAGGCCAACGTCGGTGTAAGAGGGGCGGGTGGGTTGCCTAGGGGTTTAAAAGGGTTAAAACGTTCACCGTCACGACGAAGCACCGAGTTCGATTCCCCACATTGGTACAATGTGTGCAGCCCATATTTGTGTCCCACGCCGTCATATTTTGATGGAAAATTTCTAAAAACGACTTAAAACCATTTTCACTCACTCGGTGTAGGAAAGTAAGGTGATTATTACTATATTATCGGAAACGTGTTTATAACTATAAATAATTATGCACTTGCACTAATTATGATGCTCTCGATTGTCCCTGGTACGTGCCCTGTATATACCACGTTTCAATGGGAATATTCAAAACTTCTCATTATCGTCCTTTACTTATTTTTGAGTTAAATATTGTTTACTCACTCACTCACCCCCACTCACTCACCCACCTATCCAACACCCCAATCTAATCCCACCTCCCTCCATTCCACTCACTCACTCGCTCATTCACTCCCACCCATCCATCCAACAACCCCAACTAAGCCCTTCCACTCACTCACTCATTCAGACCGCCTCCGTGGTCTTGTGGTAGAGCGTCCGCCCGGAGAGCGGAAGGTCCAGGTTCGATCCCGGGCCGCGTCATACAAAAAGACGTTAAAATATTGTACTTGTTGTTACCCTGTCTGGCGCTCGGCATTAAGGGGCTAAAACAAGGACTGGTCGGCTCGGAGTCAGTATACTGTGTCTGAGTGGGGTATTCATGTTAAACTGCGGCATGGTATCTCAGTGAGCTAGCACTATAAATCGGCATCAGTCCGGACTAGTACAAGCAGCCACGCACACACATACACATGCATGCACCTCGCTATATAAGTGCAATAATCTTGGACGCGACGTTAAACCCAATTTCACCTCACCTCACTCACTCATTCATCTATATAGTTTATGCATCTATATAGAGAATCTCACCCGAGTGTCTTTTGATAGCAAATATATCAACACGAGTTGATAAAAGTGGAAAAATTCCGAGGCTTGCCAAGGATTTTTGCCACTTTTATCAACAAGTGTTGATATATTTGATATCAAAAGACACGAGGTTGAGATTTTATTTATCATCCAACATCATTCTTCCAACTTTTTAATTAGCAGTGTCTTCAGTGTAAAAAGTACTGCTAACAGCTTCAGTAGCAGAGCCATTAGTGATGTCATTTGATTGTGACGTCACAATGGTCTCCAAAGCATTGTGATGCAATTTCATTGCAGCGATATCTACACTGTAGATATCGCTTGATATCATCCAAGCGATATCTCCTGTGGGAGCCAGTTTTGGATGATAAAACACCTTTACATACTAATTATGTACAGCAGCGGCCTGTTTGAAACTTTATCTTAGCAGACGAACCCGTGGTTGATACTTCCCACCGCCAAGGAATTACATATTCCTATTTTTGCACTGCCAGTTGAAACACTGACAAACCTTTTTTCCTGCAGGTCGTATATGTACGGGTTCCAAAGCAACACGTATGAAGAAAATACAATGCACACCGCATCATGGGAACATCAAGAGTCAAAGGCGTTATGCTTAAACAGTGATAAATGTTTACAATCACTTAACGAAACCGCTTTGCGTCTGTAGTATTGTTGACAAAAGTTCAAACAAAATACTGAATGAAACAGAAAGAAAGGTGAGAAATAAAGATTTTCTGCGATGAAGACGTGTGTAAAAGATGTAGACACAGCTCTGTTTGTTTCTTTGGAGTTCAACGCCGCACCTAGCTATATATTCCAGCTATATGATGGCGGTCTGTAAATAATCGAGTCCGGACCAGACAACCCAGTGATGCATCAACCCATTCAGCGTGTCTGACCATCCGATCCCGTTAGTCGCCTCTTACGACTGAATAGGTGGCATTAGATTGACATGGCAATGCCCCAACACTGCCTGTAGAACTAGGTGTACGCCTGCAACTAAATAGGGCCATGTATAGATCTGTTTAGTTGTCTCTTTATTCATTCTTGGAAATCATTCTTTTTATGCAAGAATTGTATATTTTACTACAAAAACTCCGGAAAAAAGAAAGTATAGACTTGGAAATTGGATTAAATCAAACTATTACATACGTTATTATTATTATTATTATTATTAAAAGGTTACTAGGTTGAAAACAGTCGCTGAAACACTTGAAAACCTAAGGTCCAAAAAACAACTACGATACCCGTATCAAATTCATCACCATCAAATAATTATTTCTTGTTTGGTTCATTTTTAGCCACCATGAAACACGTTGGTGTACACTTTCTTTTGCCCGGCAGTATATTTCCACAATTGATTGATCTTATCGGCTGTCGCACGCTGATGACGTGGTATCGACCTGCCGCCATCTGTGTAAACTGACTTCCAATACAGTTGAACAGATGTCGATACTTTTACAGATAGTTCGGATAAAACTACAGAATTTGGTATCGTTGTAAACCCGATAGACTGGGTTTGTACTGAAGGTGTCTCAATATCAAACCTATAAATTATATCTAGGCAATGGTAATAATTTGACCCGTGCGAGAAACAATTAAATATGTTTATCTCTTTGTTGTGACTTCAACACGTCCACGTTATAAACCTTACAACGTGTTCCCCATGAATTAGCTGAACTAGAAAGTTGAAATATCTGTAGCGAGTTGGAACAATTCCACCGGTGACCTACGTATAGTAGCTTTGAATTCGAACATTTAAATGTTCGATGTCCAATACAGTGAAACCTCGAAAGTACGGAAAATCCCACATTCTGGGCTATTACTGCAGGGAATATCTACATAAATGCACGCACGCACATAGGGACATTACTAAGTACCCGTGATTCGTTAATCCGGAAATTTGTTAATATCCGGAAATTTTCACTAAGAGGCTGTTGGTAGCGTTTCCACCGTGGTTCACCATACGGGTTTTGGGGATGAATAGGGGTCCAGCCAGTGCCTTCAGGTTGTCTCAGAGGCCGACTACTGTTGCGATCGGATGGTCAGACTCCGTGACACAATTCCCTTCCACTGATTTACCCACCTGAACTAGAAATAAAGGAGACGAGTGAGACCGCCTCATCTTTTTTCATGTTTACATCAATCCATAAAAATTCAGAGAGACAAAAATCTATCCTCAAGACTGTGAGTGAGTGAATGGTTTTATGCCGCTTTCAGCAATATCCCAGCAATATTACGGCGGGGAACACCTGTTTGTTCAGGTGAGCACTTGACTTGACTTAACATGTGTTTGTAACGAGTGCCACCGGTTGAGATATTTTATGATTATGGAAAATGTTTTGTCGCTATAATTAATTGGCTGGTAGCGTGTCATCGTGTCCTGATGTCGTGTATCGGTGCTCATACTTTCAGTCACTGTTTTTTCCTGTTCCAGTTCCAGGGGCGGTCACGCCGAAGACCCGGGTTCGATTCCCGACATGGGTACAATGTGTGAAGCCCATTTCTGGTGTCCCCCGCCGTGATATTGCTGGAATATTGCTAAAAGCGGCGTAAAACCATACTCACTCACTCACTCGATACTTTACACCGCCCTGGTAGAGCTGGGCCATTGTTGACTGCGGCGTAAAACAATATTAATTCTCCCACTTCACTTGCCCTTCTTTATGAAAGAAAGGGGCGGTCGGGCAGCCTAGTGGTTAAAGCGTTCGCTCGTCACAGTGAAGACCCGGTTTCCATTCCCCAGATGGGTACAATGTGTGAAGCCCATTCCTGATGTCCCCGCCGTGATATTGCTGGAATATTGCTAAAAGCGGCGTAAAGCCACATTCACTCACTATGACAGAAAAGCTAAATACAACATATCCATGTATTAGAATTATTTTATTGGTGTATCACATTCTCTCTGAAGAAATAAACAAACGACAAACTACAAGAAAATGAAGAGTGTCATGGACTCATGTTAATCTAGCCACTGAATGATATTTATATTCTTCAACTTTCCGTCATTTACATGTCCCGTTATCCAAAGGATGTTCTATTCGAAGAGACATCACGTGATGGAGTGCACGCGTGTGTAGAGTTTCGAGAAAACAAACACATTTAAACAAGTCTTCAAAATGATTCAGTCACGCGTTCATCGTCGTAAATAATTCAATGGCTAGTTGCTGTAGTCAGTGCATACAAGCGCGTCGAGTATTGACGGTGCGAGTTTCTTTTCTCGTTGACACTATGATATTTCGAAAATGGCACGACACTTTTTGTTGGTTGGGGCGAAAAAACTTAAATAAATAATGACAAAAACTATAAATATGGTTAGCCGCATAACACCTCGTGCAGTAACGGAGTAGTGATATTGCCTGATTTCACTGTATACCGCATACCGCCCGATCCCTCCGCAAATAGTTCGTACAACAGGGCGTCGTATTTTGAGAAAAGCATACTTTATTGTCAATAGAAATTAGGTAAACGATTTCATATCGAGCAAAATCTATAGGAGGGTACCGACTGCCGTCAGATTGTGATGTGTAATTTGATAGTCACGTGAAATAGTAAAACTAGTGAATCCATTTCCAATATGGATTCCTTCCAATACTGGCCGAGGTGACATATGCGAGTGAGGTGAGCCGAGTGGAGCGGTAACGGACCGGTCTGTCGCCCAGACCCTTGAGAATAAATTTAAAAAAAATGAATCCAACTCAAGTCTAGATTGCCTTAGGTCTAAAATTAAGCATTGGTCAGGGTTCCATTTGGATTCTATTTGCTTCATTTTTTGTGTAGATATGTATATTTAAATTTATTTCTGGGACTAAATGTCAGTTTTGATATCGAATGCTGAATGTAAGTTAATTCAAACAATATTAAATACGGGCATTGAGAAATTAGGTGGGACATATTACTCAACTTTTGATAAGGATTGCTATTACTCCGTGATACACCAAACGCATTACTTCCCTGCCTTGCTATCAGCTGTTGAGTAGTATTATGATATCCCACGCAGGCACGTATACCATCATTCAGACATACATCCCTATATATGAACACCATTTAATAACAATGCAATGCTGGACCATATCAAGCATTCAGTGATCCATCCATAACGTTCAAATCTGGAACATAATTTCGCAGACGGAAACTACCGATGACTTCTGATTGTCAAAGTTGTTTGCGAGTCACTAGGCAACCATCACCTTCACAAATTCTGAAACACAATATAAACACATGAAGTAACGAGTGTTATGATTTTATATATATTCATGAAGGCAGATAAATATGATTTCTTCTGTTATGATTTTGTTTGTTTGTTTGTTTTTTGACGCCGCACTCAGCAATATTCAAGCTATATGACGGCGGTCTGTAAATAATCGAGTCTGGGCCGGGCAATCCAACGATTGATGTCATGAGCACCGATCTACGCAATTTGGATACGATGACATACATCAACCACGTCAGCGAGCCTGACCACCCGATCCCGTTAGTCGCCTCTTACGACAAGTTTGGGTTGCTGAAGACCTATTCTCCCCTGGAACTTCACGGGTCCTTGCTTTATAAACAGTCTGTTGATCTGGCCTGTCGCTTGACGTGCTATGTGGAAGTGAAAAATAGTCAACGTTGATTTGCGATTCATTAAAACATAATTCAAGTCAAAAGACGTTTAAACTTTTCATATTTTCAATTCAAAAATCTATTTACAAATTTAAGATCACCCGTAAACACAAAAAATGAATTGATCTGGCGTGATTCCGAATATCAGCATCCAGTTTGAAAATGTTAATACCCCAAACTAATATTTCAAAACAGTTTGGGGCAATTTGTCTTGATGAAAACTGCCGGGCACAAGAAAGAATACACTTGAAAATTGGATTGAACCAAAACATTACAAACGTTATCAAAACATTACTAGACTGAAAACAGTCGCCGAAACACTGAAAACTTGAGGTTCAAAACATAACTATGACACCCGTATGAAATACATCACCATCGAATAATAGTTTTTGTTTGTTACATTTTAAGCCACCATCAAAAAGTGTGTATACGTTTGTTTCTCAGGTAGATTGTATTGTGATTCTTCTTTAATAGCGACAAACATTCATACATAACAAGTAAAGCCTTAAAAAAACCCGAACGGTTTCTCTTAAGGACAGATGGATCATAAGTGATTCGACATTTTATGTTAAACTGTTTGATTTTCATAGTTTGTCCAACACAGTTTTGCTGGCCATATTTAGAATCCCACAAGCAGTGAATGGGTACCCGTTAGGATGAGATGGTTATGTGACTGTTAATAGCCCAACAAGTAGCTTGCACACTGAACCACTGAACGGGGTAATAAAATGCGTTAGCGCATGTGTCATAATTATCATCATCATCACCATCATCATCGTCGTCGTCGTCGTCGTCATCATCATCACACATCATTATTATTTATTTTTTCATTATTAGTATTAGTATTAGTATTGGTGTTGTCATGTAAACGCTGTTACAGTCACCTTCATAATTAACCTTCCCGTCTTGATTGAGGTCGACAGTCTGCATCATGGCGTCCACCTCAGCGTTAGAGAGACGCTCCCCCCGGACTCTGATCACCTCCCTCAATTCGTTGGGGCTAATGAAACCGTCGCCGTTCAAGTCGTACTTCTTGAAATCGGTAATAATCTCTTTAGAAAATTTAGCGTCTTCAACTTTCTTGAGCATCATATTCTGGAACTCCTCAAAGTCCATTGTCTTGTTGCCTGGAGAAAATATTGGAATTGAAATTCGAGTTAACCAGCTGCTTCAGCATCTGAATGTTTCTATGTAATTTATATTGGATTCATTTGTACGTTCATTTTATTCCGATGTAGTTGAAGGCCACGTAAACAAACCTTGTTTAGCATAAGCAACTGACCCTAATAATCAACTGGAATCTAAATTGTTTCCTATATCATATCTTGCTAACGGTATAGGAATCTACGTCGCTATATGCAATAAACAAAGTTGTTATCCATAAAGGTGCACGTTTTCTTATGTTAAAGTTATATGCTCAACTCCGTACTGTCCACGAGTTCCTCAAACTCCCATACTTTAATATAGGCTTACGACAGTCGTAACGCTATGATCGCTTTGTGAAACGGATCACTCCAAGGCTTCGAGATTTCGAAGTGTTGATAGGCAGTTGCCCTTCCCATACATTGTTATATATCTTTTTTCAAAATGAGAAAACAAGAAAATACTCATTTGGCCGAATAAACAATTCAAAGATCATTTCTGTAATACGAACATATACAACTGACACAGGGATATCTGAGTAAAGGTTGTCTACTACAAGATAGAAAATGTAATGACTTATTTGCTAGCGTTTTTAGCGATTTGCAAATATAACACTAACATGTTGATATAAGTGTTTTCTTATACATAAACGTTTCTTCATCTGTGGTTCAAATGTTTTAAAACGATAAATACTATTAACAATACCTTAATACGAAACTGTTTAGATTTGATTGGTTAACAGAGGCCTCTATTTAAAAAGGGTCACGACCCAGTTGTCTAACGCGCCGCAATTCGCTGTGCAGAGTTCTGTCCCTTGGGCATGCCAGAAAACTATGATTGTGGGTTCGAATCCCGGTTCGCCCCGATTATGTTTCTAGTTTTGTCAGCACGATACCCGTGCTCGTGGGTTTCACCGAGGTGGTAAACGTCTGAGACCTGCATCACTTCGGGATTTCCTCCCGCATAAAGCTAACACGCCGTAATACAGCTGGTTTTACTGGAATACTGTTACTCGTTAAGTGTGAGTTTCGTGCGGGACTAAATGTCAGTTTTGATATCGAATGCTGAATGTAAGTTAATTCAAACAATATTAAATACGGGCATTGAGAAATTAGGTGGGACATATTACTCAACTTTTGATAAGGATTGCTATTACTCCGTGATACACCAAACGCATTACTTCCCTGCCTTGCTATCAGCTGTTGAGTAGTATTATGATATCCCACGCAGGCACGTATACCATCATTCAGACATACATCCCTATATATGAACACCATTTAATAACAATGCAATGCTGGACCATATCAAGCATTCAGTGATCCATCCATAACGTTCAAATCTGGAACATAATTTCGCAGACGGAAACTACCGATGACTTCTGATTGTCAAAGTTGTTTGCGAGTCACTAGGCAACCATCACCTTCACAAATTCTGAAACACAATATAAACACATGAAGTAACGAGTGTTATGATTTTATATATATTCATGAAGGCAGATAAATATGATTTCTTCTGTTATGATTTTGTTTGTTTGTTTGTTTTTTGACGCCGCACTCAGCAATATTCAAGCTATATGACGGCGGTCTGTAAATAATCGAGTCTGGGCCGGGCAATCCAACGATTGATGTCATGAGCACCGATCTACGCAATTTGGATACGATGACATACATCAACCACGTCAGCGAGCCTGACCACCCGATCCCGTTAGTCGCCTCTTACGACAAGTTTGGGTTGCTGAAGACCTATTCTCCCCTGGAACTTCACGGGTCCTTGCTTTATAAACAGTCTGTTGATCTGGCCTGTCGCTTGACGTGCTATGTGGAAGTGAAAAATAGTCAACGTTGATTTGCGATTCATTAAAACATAATTCAAGTCAAAAGACGTTTAAACTTTTCATATTTTCAATTCAAAAATCTATTTACAAATTTAAGATCACCCGTAAACACAAAAAATGAATTGATCTGGCGTGATTCCGAATATCAGCATCCAGTTTGAAAATGTTAATACCCCAAACTAATATTTCAAAACAGTTTGGGGCAATTTGTCTTGATGAAAACTGCCGGGCACAAGAAAGAATACACTTGAAAATTGGATTGAACCAAAACATTACAAACGTTATCAAAACATTACTAGACTGAAAACAGTCGCCGAAACACTGAAAACTTGAGGTTCAAAACATAACTATGACACCCGTATGAAATACATCACCATCGAATAATAGTTTTTGTTTGTTACATTTTAAGCCACCATCAAAAAGTGTGTATACGTTTGTTTCTCAGGTAGATTGTATTGTGATTCTTCTTTAATAGCGACAAACATTCATACATAACAAGTAAAGCCTTAAAAAAACCCGAACGGTTTCTCTTAAGGACAGATGGATCATAAGTGATTCGACATTTTATGTTAAACTGTTTGATTTTCATAGTTTGTCCAACACAGTTTTGCTGGCCATATTTAGAATCCCACAAGCAGTGAATGGGTACCCGTTAGGATGAGATGGTTATGTGACTGTTAATAGCCCAACAAGTAGCTTGCACACTGAACCACTGAACGGGGTAATAAAATGCGTTAGCGCATGTGTCATAATTATCATCATCATCACCATCATCATCGTCGTCGTCGTCGTCGTCATCATCATCACACATCATTATTATTTATTTTTTCATTATTAGTATTAGTATTAGTATTGGTGTTGTCATGTAAACGCTGTTACAGTCACCTTCATAATTAACCTTCCCGTCTTGATTGAGGTCGACAGTCTGCATCATGGCGTCCACCTCAGCGTTAGAGAGACGCTCCCCCCGGACTCTGATCACCTCCCTCAATTCGTTGGGGCTAATGAAACCGTCGCCGTTCAAGTCGTACTTCTTGAAATCGGTAATAATCTCTTTAGAAAATTTAGCGTCTTCAACTTTCTTGAGCATCATATTCTGGAACTCCTCAAAGTCCATTGTCTTGTTGCCTGGAGAAAATATTGGAATTGAAATTCGAGTTAACCAGCTGCTTCAGCATCTGAATGTTTCTATGTAATTTATATTGGATTCATTTGTACGTTCATTTTATTCCGATGTAGTTGAAGGCCACGTAAACAAACCTTGTTTAGCATAAGCAACTGACCCTAATAATCAACTGGAATCTAAATTGTTTCCTATATCATATCTTGCTAACGGTATAGGAATCTACGTCGCTATATGCAATAAACAAAGTTGTTATCCATAAAGGTGCACGTTTTCTTATGTTAAAGTTATATGCTCAACTCCGTACTGTCCACGAGTTCCTCAAACTCCCATACTTTAATATAGGCTTACGACAGTCGTAACGCTATGATCGCTTTGTGAAACGGATCACTCCAAGGCTTCGAGATTTCGAAGTGTTGATAGGCAGTTGCCCTTCCCATACATTGTTATATATCTTTTTTCAAAATGAGAAAACAAGAGAGTTTCGTGCGTTGGAGTGAGTGAGTATGGTTTTACGCCGCATCTTGCAATATCCTAGCAATATCACGGCGGAGGACAGCAGAAATGGGCTTCAAACACCCAACTCTCATTTTGGTGACGAGCGAACCTTTTAACCACCAGGCAACCATACCGCCCCCCTTTAGAGAACCTAGGGTATAAAATGCACACATGCGCCCCCGTGTTTACATGGATAGTTAGATTAATACAAAGATACGTTAGAAATGTCTACATTAGAAAAAGTTAAACACTCTTAATACAGGCCGACGGACATCCTCAATAAGATTTCACTTAATATCTCAAGAATAGTGGTGGTAGTAGTAGTAGTAGTAGTAGTAGTAGTAGTAGTAGTAGTAGTAGTTATAGTGCATCGGTGGGGTAGCCTAGTGGTCAAAGCGTTCGCTCGTCACGCCGAACTCCTGGGTTCGATTCCCCACATGGGTACAATGTGTGAAGCTTAGTTCTGTTGGCCCCCTCTGATATTGTTCGAATATTTCTAGAAGCGTCGTAAAACCATACTCACTCACTAGCGGTAGTGGTGGTAGTAGTAGTAGTAGTAGTAGTAGTAGTAGTAGTAGTAGTAGTAGTAGTTAGAACCATATAGATGGGACCATGTATTAGAACCATGTGAAGATCAAGGACAATTCAGAAAGTTCCTTCTAACAAATGCCAAAGTCAAAAGATTACTCTCGGTAAAAACATATTTTAGAAATTAAGGTATCAACATGCTTCGTCTAATTTTTTAAAAACAGGTAAACAGTAGCAATTAGACAACCCAGGAACAGCGATTGTGTTAACAGGGGTGCAAACAATTAAAGCAAAAAGACATTTATATTTTATTGCATCATTTTTTTATCCATCTTAGCACTGACATGTGAGTAAAAGAGTCGTCAAATATTAGGCACCACTTATCATCTCAAAATTAGTGAGTGAGTGAGTAAGTTGGGTTTAACGCCGCTTTTAACAGTATTCCAGTTATATCACGGCGTGTCAGCTTAATGTGGGAGGAAAGCCCGAAGTGATGCAGGTCTCAGACGTTTACCACTTCGGTGAAACCCACGAGCACGGGTATGGTGCTGACAAACCTAGAAACATAATTGGGCGAACCGGGATTCGAACCCACAATCATAGGTTTCTGGCGTGCCCAAGGGACGCAACTCTGCACAGCGAATCGCGGCGCCTTAGACAACTGGGCCACCCGTGCCCCTCTCAAAATTAGACGACCAGGGTTGTAATCGAGAATTTAATTGAATATAATCATATGGGAGATTTTTTTAAGGGCAGGTGAAATCTACAAATTAGTTCACACAAGACTCCCGTATTAATGGCGAGTTTGGAAACCGTGCTTGTGAATACGTCTTGGCCAACAATTACATGAATGTAATAGTTACAAGGTAGGGAGGGAAGATGTTTTGTTGAGGCGTTCACAGCGTAGAGGCTTGGAAGCGAACGTAAAATATCAAACACTTGCCATGTACAATGTAAAGGGTTGGTTTGAACTCCGTCATTGTATCACACTGTTATAGCCAAAGGCTCTTTACAATGAGAGTGTTGGGTTTTACGCCGCTTTTAACAGTAATCCAGTTATACCACGGCGTGTCGGCTTGATGTGGGAAGAAAGCTCGAAGTGATGCAGGTCTCAGACGTTTACCCCATCGGTGAAACGAGTGAGGATGTGGTGCTTGGATCATAATGGTGGCCAATCATGGACTCTAAACTCACGACCAGCGGATCCAGGCAAGGTTATGGACGCAACCTTTTCACATCTCTTGATAACTGATATACTATTTGAATCAGCGTTAACTCCAACTCACTCTTTCACCGACCAATCTACTCACCCACCCGCCCACTCACTCACTCACTCACTCACCGTCTTTGTCAAACTGGTTGATGATCTCCTCAACCTCCTCCAGGGTCATCTCGTGACCTAGTGACGTCAGCATAGCCCCCAACTCCGATGTGGTGATTTTGCCGCCCTTGTCCCGGTCATACTTGTCAAAAAGCTTCTTTAACTCTGAAAATGACAGAGTCAAAATGAAAAAGAAAAACAAAAAACGAAATAGAAAAAAAAACTGCCCCTGGATTCAACCCGAAAAAGAATTAGTCGTTGGACATGCTGGAAGCCCTGAAAAAAATGTGTTGAAAATATAATTGTTCGTCTCGCCCTTTCAGCAGAAAATAACATGGTCGGTCCCAAACGCATAAAAAAATCTCTATACAGTGAGGTCTCGTTTATCCGGACTGCTGTGTTCTGTCGACTAACGATTAATCTTTTCGGAGCAATACCGATCGTCATTCCTGTCAGAAGCCGTCCGCAAAACGTGGTTCCAGCACTGAGACTTACTCGTAATTCGCACAACCACTGATTTCTGATGCGTTGCATACCTACTCCGTGGTCTAGTGGTAGAGTGTCCGCCCGGGTTGTAGAAAGTCGGGGGTTCGATTCCCGGCTGCATCACACCAAAAGGCGTTAAAAAGATTGCACTTGTTGTTACCTTGCCTAGTGCTCGGCATTAAGGGGCTAAAACCGCTTGACTGTTTCGGAGTCATTATACTGTGTCTGAACGGGATATTCATATTCAACCTCGGTATGGTATCTCAATTGGCTAGCTCTATAAACTCGGCATAAGTCCGCACTAGTACAAGCAATAACACACATACGTGCATGCAATAATCTTGAACGGGACGTTAAACGCCATTTCACCTCACCATCATCTAATCTTATACGTAACGCTAACAGAGAATTTTCTGTCAAACATTTTGCAGCCGACGTTTCAATTTATTTCGATCAGATACGTTGTCCTCAAGTGAAATGCCTGGGGTCTGGGGTCTTGTTTCGTTTGTCGGAGAATGCCAGTGTGGTCATATAAACTCCCAGGCAAAAGAAAGTATACACTTGAAAACTGGATGTGACCAATAAAATACAAAGGTTATCAAAAGGTTACTTGGCTGAAAACACTGCAAACGTAAGGTCAAAAACACAACTGTGATGCACCATCGAATAGAGTGCAAAAATTTTGAACGGGACGTTAAACCCAATTTAACCTCACCATCATCTAATCTTATACGTAACGCTACGAGAATTTTCTATCAAACATTTTGCAGCCGATTTTTAATTTGACCAGCTGCGTTGTCCTTGATTTGATACATCATATCGGGAATTCCATTCATGTTATATTTTTGCTTTTAATTAGGTCCTCACCACGTGCAGTGTATGTGGGTAAACTATAGGGCAAAAGAAAGTATACACTTAGAATTTGACTACACAATTTCAAACGTCACAAAACCTGCCTGAAAACAGTCGCCTAAATACTGCACACTTAAGCTCCAAACCACAACCTGGATACCCGTATCAAATACATCAGCATCGAAAAAATATTTTTTGTTTGTTTCATTTTTAGCCATCATTGAACATAGATGTATACTTTCTTTTTCCCGGCAGCATATGTTGTTTTTTGAGTATCTATGCATCCATATATATATTCATGAACCGTAGACATTTTTTACCAGTTTTGGATTATATGTGTGGTATATCTTTTCTTCATGTATTAAGTATGTTTTCAAGTATTTTTTTATGTTTATTTATAATATAATAATACAAGATCTTTTTCTTTTTTGGCCATAATATTGTATTTGTTGCCGTGTGTATTTCTTGATGTCTAAGACATCGAATTTAGTGAGGGAGTGAGTTGGGTTTAACGCCGCTTTTAACAGTATTCCAGTTATATCACGGCGTGTCAGCTTAGTGTTGGGGGAAATCCCGAAGTGATGCAGGTCCCAGACGTTTACCACTTCGGTGAAACCCACGAGCACGGGTATGGTGCTGACAAACCTAGAAACATAATCGGGGCGAACCCACAATCATAGGTTTCTGGCTTGTCCAAGGGACGCAACTCTGCACAGCGAATCGCGGCGCCTTAGACAACTTGGCCACCCGTGCCTCCTCGAATATAGTGCTGACTATTAACGGCGAGCCCTGTAGGATTGCGTTACAACGGGAGTTCATTCTACATAATATAATAGTTTCGTATATCCATATTTTTTTACAAACATCCGAACAAGACACTATCAGTTTTGGGGAAACCTAAACTTATACTGACTTAATCTATGTTATTTTAGAGTTACAAAGGGTGATATCACTGGAGTGATTAAGTATGGAGAGATATATGAATGAGTGAGTTGGATTTAACGCCGCTTTAAACAGTATTCCAGTTATATGGCGGCGGCAGTTTAATGTGGGAGGAAATGCCGAAGTGATGCAGGTCATAAGTTTACCACTTTGGTGAAACTCGCGGTGCTGACAAACCTACAAACGGGCACAGAGAAATATAAAAACGCATGTAGAAATAAATTCTTTTATAATATTTCATTTTCCTTTTGATTAGAAAGTCTTCGAGCTACACACATTCTCATAAGTATGACATATTTAACACAATACAAGAGAAGTAGTAATTGATGAAAGATACAAGGTTAGTAAGTGAGTGAGTGAGTGAGTGAGTGAAGTGGGTTTAAGTCCGTTTTGAACAGTATTTCAGTATTTCGCCATGGTAGTTTGATGTGGGAGGAGAGCCTGGCCTAATGCAGGTACTAGATTTTCCATCTTGTTCGTGAACCCACGAGTGCAGGTATGGTGTGACAAACCAAAACTTATAATCATGTTGAATCTGGGATGCTAAACTACGGCCATGGGATTCTGCCATGACAAACGGACAACCTTATATGGTTGCGCCACCCGCCCCCATGCGAGATTAGATCTGCGTTAAGTAAAGAAGCATATGCAAATGTGTTTCTCGGATATGTGGTACGGTTATCTACGGTTATAACGAACTCAAAGGGACCACAAAATTTAGTTCGTTATAACCATAGTTCGTTATAAGCATATATACAGCATATATACAGCAAATGGCCGCGACCAAAAAAACAGTTCGTTATATCCACCAGTTCGTTATAAGCGTGTTCGTTATAAACGTAGTTTACTGTAATTGCATGTCTTGATAAGGAAATATTTCTTTTTTGAAAACTAAGACTGATTTAACGTCTATATCATTTCTTCACAGAGAGCACGCGCTGATCGTGACGTCACTGATTTGTGTGCACGCTGAATTTCACAAACTCTGCACAGAGTATACTTTTCCGAGAGCACGTCGAATATTTCACGCGCTTTAGACTGGTTTTCGGCTCTACGTGTGCTGCGACAGCTTCTTTATATTACAGACGGATTTATATGTACAAACTTCTGTATTTGAAATTTATTGAAAACGAGTATGATTGGAACTGATTAAATCATTAAAATAATTCGAAAATCTGATCTTGTAATAAGTTATGAATATTGTTTACCTTGAATCTGCGACTCTGAGAGTGTGTCCGCCTGAGAAAAAATAAAAATCAATTGTCAACATCATCGTAGATTACGCAGTGTAAATATATGAAATCGACCATAATGTCATAAAAGGGCAAACTATTCTGTAAATATATATATTCTGCAACAGTTTGAAACATATACATGGATCTGTTAGGGTGAGACTTAATTGAGACATCAGTTTGTAAATTCAGCATAAATCCTAAACTAGACACTGATGCATTTTGATCGAAGCAATCAATTCAACCAGGCGTCTATGATACCTCATTATTGATGCCAGTCGTTTCACCTGTTCAGACATGCTAACATCTAGTCAGGTGCAATGGTGATGCGAGTACCAACATATCCCCTTTGTAGCACACGTGGAGGGCATGCATCATTTATAGGGTTAATCAATGAAGACTGCACAGCATGGAACCACATTGTTATGCATCGTTGAATTCAATATAATAATAAGGTAATATTATTTAAGTCGACCACAATGTTTTAATGGCGTCCGCATCATCAATCGCATCTGATTATCGTGGATGTAGATTGTTGTTGTTTTTTGGTTGGTAAAATGAGTTATCGAAGAGCAATCAAGCAGGTGATTACGCTTGTTTAGAAGAACAGTCATCCAGTAACACAAGATATTAGAAAGATACAGTGACTAGATGATTAAGCCTCGATCACTCATGTCCTAATACTTGCCAGAATCCTTGACACAGCGTGTATATGAGGATATTCTTTCATCTACAGCACCACAACACATTTTACAAATATTCTTTTCAAATAAACTACATGGCGACGATATTGCATTGAGATGATATACTTTCATAAATACAGGAATTTCTGTTTATTTGGTTTAATATGGCCCCTACCGCCATTTTACGGGCGAGTTTAAATGAATCCAGCGATGCCATGTACATGTTAGCTGTGCTATTTATCCATAATTATTAAGGATTTATTATCATCAGCTCACGTGCTCATTATTAAGATTCCTGTCAATAGTACTGATGATGTCACTGATATAGATTGAAGTGATATCCTAATATTTTGAAATTCATATTTCAAACTTTCTTCTTCATTGAGTTCGCAATCAATGATCAAGAAATCACAAATATCGATTTTGCAGCTAAACAGTGGTAAATATCCGTGAAGATATAAATTAACTTCCATTCCTACATTCTTACCTGCACAGGTATGATGAATAGTTTCAGGAACAAATAAATAAAACATAATTACTCACCATATCGTATAAACAAGGGACTGTAAATGTGAATATATGGTGTATCGAAAGCTGGCTGAAGGAGATCTCGACGATTCTCGGTTGACAACGCGACTGGTGCAGAGCGACATCACAGTAATCAATATCGCAGACTACCCCGGGTGAAGAAGAGAGATGCGTGAGGCGGCGAGGACATCAATAATGATATACATAGGAACGAGAGACATATTATCAATCTGTTGGCAATAACAGTTGTGGTTGGTGTTGGTCGTACACCGGGGGTGACGGTAGGAGGGCAATGTGTGTCGCCGTTGATGCTGCTACTATAGCTAATGCCTGTCTGACGGAAGGAGGATGGTGAATGTCGTCGTTGATGCTGCTACAATAGCTAATGCCTGTCTGATTGTAGGAGTATGGCGAATGTCGTCTTTGATACTGCTACTATAGCTAATGCCTGTCTGACGGAAGGAGGATGGTGAATGTCGTCGTTGATGCTGCTACAATAGCTAATGCCAGTCGGATTGTAGGAGTATGGTGAATGTCGTCTTTGATGCTGCTACTATAGCTAATGCCTGTCTGACAGAAGGAGGATGGTGAATGTCGTCGTTGATGCTGCTACAATAGCTAATGCCAGTCGGATTGTAGGAGTATGGTGAATGTCGTCGTTGATGCTGCTACAATAGCTAATGCCAGTCGGATTGTAGGAGTATGGCGAATGTCGTCTTTGATACTGCTACTATAGCTAATGCCTGTCTGACAGAAGGAGGATGGTGAATGTCGTCGTTGATGCTGCTACTGTAGGTAATGCCGGTCCGATTGTTGGATTATGGTGAATGTCGTCGTTGATGCTGCTACAATAGCTAATGCCTGTCTGATGTAGGAGTATGGTGAATGTTGTCTTTGATATTGCTACTATAGCTAAATCCCGTCTGATGGTAGGAGGGCAATGTTTGTCGTCGTTGATGCTGCTACTATAACTAAAACCTGTCTGATTGTAGGAGGGCAGTGTTTGTCGTTGTTGATGCTGCTACAATAGCTAATGCCTGTCTGATGGTAGAAGGGCAATGTTTGTCGTCGTTGATGCTGCTACTATAACTAAAACCTGTCTGATTGTAGGAGGGCACTGTTTTTCGTCGTTGATGCTGCTACCATAGCTAATGCCTGTCTGATGTTAGGAGGGCAATGTTTGTCGTCGTTGATGCTGCTACTATAACTAAAACCTGTCTGATTGTAGGAGGGCAATGTTTTTCGTCGTTGATGCTGCTACCATAGCTAATGCCTGTCTGATGTTAGGAGGGCAATGTTTGTCGTCGTTGATGCTGCTACCATAGCTAATGCCTGTCTGATTGTAGGAGGGGCAATGTTTCTCGTCGTTGATGCTGCTACAACAGCTAACGTCTGTCTGGTGGTAAAAGGGCAATGTTTGTCATCGTTGATGCTGCTACTATAACTAAAACCTGTCTGATTGTAGGAGGGCAATGTTTGTCATCGTTGATGCTGCTACTATAGCGGACCGCCTCCGTGGTCTAGTGGGAGAGCGTCCGCCTGGAGAGATTGTCGTGGGTGGTGCTGTTACTTTTGCTAGAACCACGTCTGATGGGGGTAGTACACTGCATATTGTGGCTGATGCTGCCGTACTTCAGCTAGTCAGGGTGGGGTGGGGTTGGGTGTCTAGTTTTATCATGGTCAGTCCGGAAGTGTCCATCTAATTAAGATGCGTGGTCTTGATGTTATGTGGTGTGCGAATGGCAACGAGGCGATTGAGTGCATTGGCTTATACTTGGTGTTACGAATGACTGGAAACGGTTGATTACAAGTGAGTGAGTGAGTGAGTGTGGTTTTACGCCGCTTCTAGCAATATTCCAGCAATATCACGGCGGGTTTGATTACAAAGTAGTGTGCGACAGTAATTATCGTGTAGTTGTCTCATTGAGGTGAGTTGAAATGGGGTTTAACGTCGCGTTCAAAATTATTGCACTTATATAGCGGTGGGGTAGCCTACTGGTTAAAACGTTCGCTCGTCACGCCGAAAACCCGGTTCATTTCCCGACATGGGTTCAATTTGTGAAGCCCGTTTATGGCGTTCCCCGCCATGATATTGCTGGAATATTGCTGAAAACGGCGCAAAACTATACCCACTCTCACCATGCCGCAGTCAAAGACGGATAGATACCCCACTCAAACTTAGCATACCGACCCCGAACCGTCCACACCTTGTTTTATCCCCTTGATGCACCAGGCAGGGTTACACATGCCATATTGTGACGTCTATTGACGCAGCCAGGGGATCCACCAACCAACCTTCCGCTCTCCGTGCAGGCGCTTCATCCATCTGCTATATAGAACACGGAAGCAGTCTACCTGATCGTGAAGTCACGGCTGTCGTTGCTGACACTGCTTGCATACAAGAGTGATCGATGCAGTTCCTATATACCACTCAACTGTTGATGATGTTGAACCATGAAAACCTTTGTGTGACAGTAACGTTTGAGATACACGCGAGTGAATCACGAGTTTGATTTAACGCCGCTTTGAACAATATTCCAGTTACATCAGGGCGTCATCTTGATGTGGGAGTAGTTCTTAATTTGTATGTAATTAGGACAGTGCTTCATGGTATGTATAATATATCCTATTAATAAGTGCACGGACTAACATTATGGAGAAAATATGCAATATGAATTTCATAATCTTTCAAAAGGAGTTGGGTTTAACAGTATTCCAGTTAAATCACGGCGTCAGCTTAATGTGGGTGGAAGGCCTTAGTGATGCAGGTCTCAGACGTCTACCACTTTGATGAAACCCACGACAATCTGCAATGGTGTCGACAAACCTAAAAGCAATGGGGCGAACCGGGATTCAAACCCACTTTCATATGGTTCTGGTGCGCATAAGGGACGCAACTCTGCAATGCGAATTGTGGCGCCTTAGCCACCCATGCCCGTCCGTTTGTACATGCATACTGCAGGAGACACACACACACCAGAACAGACAACACCACGAATTATTATGCCCGGGTGCAGTGCGCGATGATTATCGTGTTTAATTAATGCGATGTTTAAGTGTAGTTATTTTTTGTCTTCAAGTTGTTCAAAAGAACATCAAGAAATCAATAATTAATATAGATCATTGAGAGAGGCGGACGAGCGAGCCTAAACATTGTATTGATCAGTCTACCGTCAGCTCTGCCAACATATGGTAGCCACACAAAGGTTGCAATGACACTGGAGCCACATTGCCAAGGACGCCGTCATGAGCAAGAATAAGAAACTGTGGCTGGACGGTCCGCTTTGTTGAACTCTCGCCCACCTCGTCCGATACATTATTTATGAGACAGGTGTGTTTACTGTCTCAATGATTAAACATGTAAAACATTTATTATTGCTACACGTCTGACAAAGAAATATTTCGTTAAACTAAATTTTTGGTTACCACATTAAATCGCTGAGGTAAACCAAGTAATAAGCGTCGCATCTTACAATCTTTTCGTAACACTTTGAACGGTCTTCTGCAAAACATGCTTCTATAAGAAGCGACATACGGAAACGGGTGGTTGATGCATGTCATTGTATCCTTTCCAAAATTCGTAGATAAATGTAGATGGTTTAAACTCTGGTTTGTCTGGTCCATTCAAGTATTTACAGACCGGTTTAAAACATTATCATCCTTCCATGTCAGAATGGTTGGTTGTTTAACGCCGCACTCAGCTATATTACAGCTATATGACGGCAGTCTGTAAATAATCGAGTCTGGACCAGACAATCCAGTCATTAATATCATGAGCATCGATCCATGCCATCGGGGACGATGACATGTATCAACCAAGTTAACGAGCCTGATCCCCCGATCACGTTGGTCGCCTTTTACGGCAAGCATGGGCTACGCCAGATCTTCACGGGTCCCATGTCAGAATGAGATCCGATTGGTACACGTGATCTTGATAAAATACTGTGTAACCCGCCTTGGAATGTAATACATTTCTCAGCGGGTGAATAAATCTCTTGTACCCCGCCACGGGCACTACATGCTGCACGTGCATTCCTGAGACGAATAAATCCGTTATACCCAGTTTCAAAGCAAAACCCAGCACGCTTTTTCCCATTCGTGTTATTCCGGGACAAGCCGAATAGCGACTCGTGACCCGCTCATGGCCATTTTTGAGACCGGGTTCCGTCTTAGCGCAAACTGGCATACCTAAAACAATTGTCAACTCGTTGCGTTATATTTCCCGATATTTTACATATATTTCAGATGCAATTTAAAGCACATCGGGACATGCGGAATTATACAGTATGATTAAACACATTTAACTGTGTCTTTGGTATATTTTTCGATGGAAGACATATGTAAAATAAACAAATATTTCTGAGGGATTCTTTGACGAAGAACTTGAAATCATATACGCGCATGTTGATTGGTTTTTCGTATTTTCGCATATAACATTCATCGAAAGGGGGACGAGTGGTTACGGAAAGGGGCGAGTGGTGACGAATGGCTCCCCCCGTACATGGGGTTTTATGCGTACCTCGTTAGGTTTTATACAACCCGCCTCCACATCGTGGCATAAAACCCCACATGTACCCCGAATCATCCTGCAACAACTTATAATGTAACTCAGTGAGCAGCGATGCTGAACCAGATCCAGCAGCTTTCAACAGTACTGTAATTACGGACCTGAAAGTTTTGCGAAACTTAGGCGTAGATCGGGGGCGTTTACCACTTACAGAGAAACCCAGGAGCACTGTGCCGGTGTCACGAAATATATTCGCCCCCAGAATAAAATCTCCCCCCGGCGAATTTATACCGGTACAGTTCCGCCCCTCTCGAAATAAACTCTCCCCCACCCTACGAAATAAAATCTCCCCCCAGAATATTTCCTCCCCCGGTCGTTTTATAAATACTTGCCATGCAGTTCAATAGTTGATATTATTTTGGGTTAGGTAATGTTGTAATCTATTTTTAGCCATTGATTCCATTACTTTGCATAAGTTTGAAGTTAGGGATATTGGTCTATATGAGTTAGCTTATATGAGTTGATTAGCTGGTTTATTAGGTTTAGGGATTTGTATGACTAGGGCCTGTTTCCAGGGAGTAGGAACCTGTCCGTTTAGGTAGCTGAGATTGTATAGTTTGAGTAGTGCCTGGAGTAGTTTTAGCGGGAGATTTTTAATTATTTGGTAAGAAGTTAGGTCTAATCCTGGGGCTGTGCCCTTTTTCCTGTTTTGGATTACGTAGAGGAGCTCCTCCTTTATTTCTAGATTGTTATTGTTTGGTTCT